GATGTAGTCATGAAGGAATTACTCTACCACAGCAGGCATAACATCCTTTTGATCCCATTTTCTCTCCAGAAATAAGCACATTTGCTGATCCATTAAAAAAAAAAAAAAAAAAAGCACAAAATGCCTGTTCATGCTCCTATACTTCAGCCATATTTCAGTTTTTCCATTTTGGATAGCACGGATCACCAGGTTATGGAAGCACTGTAACAGAACCAGGCTTTTTTAAACCTCAAATTGATTTTGATTTTTACACATCTTGACATTGCTGTACATAAGTCTTATGTTTTATCTGGGGTCAAGTCTTGAAAGCCCTTATTAGACTTTGACTCCAGGATGAATTCTGCTGGAGTGTGCAAAGGTCTTCATGACATGATGCTTTGTAAGTAGATCAATATCAAGGGTCAGACCCTACCAGCCTCAGTGGACCACATCCCCAAGTACAAATATGCATGCGGAAAATAAAAGCAAGATCAGCAAGAAAAAAAGCAGGAAAATGATAAGAAAGATCATCAAAAACGATGGGCCAGCTGTAAAGCAGAGCTTGAGGAGTGTGGCCTGCTGGATCTGTCAGACTGCACCTTCAGGGCATCCATCCAGCCCTGCAGGGGGAGAGGACAGACTGCAGCTGTGCTTCCTTTCTGCCATCACACACCCCTTACTTCTGCATTTTGTTGACTCGAGGGATTCCTCTCCTTTGCAAGCACGGGATGCAATCAGATTAATTTCAATGATTAATTTGGAGTGAAATCCTTCCTTGTGCAGCAGCTCAGCTGTGGAGCTCGGGTTGGTTTTCCTAGAGGGTGAATCTGGCTCTGCCAGTGGCACCTCCCCGTGCACCCCACTTATGCACAGCTGGAACTCGTGAGGTGATGTATTATTTTTATATGAAACACTAGAAATGTTATTTTTGTAAAAAGGTTTTATAGCTTTTTGAATGTCTGTAATGTCCTGTCTGAGCTGCTTGGAGCCAAGACCTTTGTGGCAGCACTGGGAATCACCGTGCCTTGTCTATTTTGTTGCTGGTCTTGGGTGGCTTGTGCATGTCCCTGGGAGCTGGATCACTGCCCAGGCCCTTCAGCAGACAGAGTGGACACTTTGCAGGTGAAGTGCTTGTCTTGCAGCAGTGCTGGGGAGATGGATGTGCACCAGCCAGGCCACTTGGAGTCCCACCAGTCTTTGGAAGGAGCTTCCAGCTCCACCACCAGCTCCCAGCTGCTGTGATCCCACGGGAGCTCACCAGGAGCAGCTGCTTCTCCAGGCTGGCCCTGTCCTTGTGCATTCCCTGCTCTCTCTCCTGTCCCTTGGCTGTTTGCAGCAGGGTGCTGGCACCCTCACAGGGCACAGGTGAAACCCAGGACAGGGGGACACTGCTGTTCCTCTCTCTGCAGTGAGTCTGGGAGGGAGGGAGGATGGAGCCTGTGGGTGTCACCCATTTCTGGGGGTTAAAATACCACTTGCTGTAGAGCACAGTGACTGTTACAAGCTCCAGTTTGTTTGTATATTGAGTGTGTGCATGAGATATGAGCTGTACATTTTTATAGAAGTAATAAAGTCCTTATGTTAAAAACTTTCATGTCAAATTTTCAACTTTCAAGCCCTTATGTTAAAAACTCAGGGGATTGAGCCTTGGGCTGGGTCACCAAGCCTGGTCCCTGCAGAGATGAACACCTATGACCGAGCACTGTGGAAAGCATCCCAGCACCACCAGATGGCAAAGCTGGCACAGCTGGATGTGGCCAGGCCATTGCTCCATCTCCCTTAAGGGTTTTGATCTTGCAGATCTTGGCAGGAAATATATTTCCTCACAGGGAGTTGTGTCTCCCATCTTACCAAGGCAATAAAGAAAAGTGGACTTTTGCATTGTTTAAGCAAAGCTAAGGTCCAACAGGAGCTCAGAGACAGCAAAGGCTCCAGGTCTGTTCTGTGAGGAGGCAGGAGGGCAAGGGCTGACACAGAGCCTCTCCCACCCCAGCCAGGGCTTGGGCTGCCCTGTGTGCTGCTCTGGTGCTGGGGAGGTGGGAAAAGCAGCTCCGTGAAAGAGGCATTTCCCAGGGGTTTGCCTGGAGGTGGGAGCTGGCAGGAGCAAGAGGGATGAGCATCTTCCCTACATTTCAGGAGCTCTCATCCCAGCCATCTCTCAGCCCCGTGCCTTTCTAGGTGGGTGCAGAAGTCAATGAAAATTTCCTGCAGCTGAGTCACCAGGCCAGAGAGGTCATTTGGGGGATAACGTAACTCTAAGGAAACGAGAGCACTTTTGTTTTCTTAATTTCATTTCTCCTCTCCTGTGGAGAGGGCAGGCGGGGAAGGAGGGGGCTGACAAACCACCCAGGCCCCACAGGGTGAGTCATTTCCCATCATTTCCCCCAGGCAGAGCTGGCTCCAGCAGGGCTCCTTGGGGCTGCTCCTCTGGAGATTTTGGGTGCCCCTGGGCTGGGGGTGGCACACGCTCCCTGGCTTTGCTGGTGTTGGTGTCTGCCTGGCCAGGGAAGGACCTTGTGCCAAGGGTGTCCCTCCACAAGCTGAGCTGCAGCATCTGTCTACTGCTTGCTTAAACTCTAGGAGCTCTAAAAGGCTCAAGGTTGCAAAAAGGAGCCTGAAGTCCTCATTAAGCATCAATTCCCCTGGTTCTGCTCCACACAGAAGCCTCTCCAGTGCAGAGCCTCCCTCACACCCCAGGTTCATCCTCCACTTAACCCTGAGGTAGCTACCTGTTCTGTGAGGAGAACTGATTGACCTCATTGGATAGAAATGGAAAAATGCCTCATTTTTAGTGTGTTTGAGGAAGCTGACATCAGATCTATTATTTAACCTTCCTTAGCAAGATAAGGCCACTTCCAGTTTCAGGCGCAGGTGCATTGACCCGTGCCTCTTCTTGGCTGTCTTTGTGAGGGTTCCTGCCTGCCCACATCGACGTTCTGCTCTGTCCCTGTGCCTGTGGACAGGCTTGCCCAGTGAGTTAGTGCAGGCAGAACCTGGGGCAGGGCTCCTGGAAGGCACACAGCTGTTGGAATGCTGCACAGCCTTCCCGGAGCCTCCGTGTCCCGTGATCCGGGCAGAGCTTCCCGCACAGGATGCATCCCAGATCACCAGCTCGGTGCTTGGTGCTCCCCAGTGTCCGTCTGTAGGAAGAAGACTTTGGAAGAGATTCTCATTTTTCTAATTTTAGAGTGTCTTTCCAGGCTGTTCCTGGAATCACGGGGGTTTTGGGAAGGAAGAACAGAATCACCTTTTGTTTGTGGTTGTGTCCTGAGTCAACCAGGGCTTCCCCATGGAGGAGGGAAGCACCCCAAAGAAATGGGAAGGAGCTTTACAGGCAGAAAGGGTGAAGGGGCTTTAAAGATGCCAGACAAGGATGTCTCATCTTGTAAATGGAAAAGGTTCAACGTGACTGAGTAGAACAGAAGAAAGCAGGGAAAACTTATTCCCAATGCTCCCACCACCTCTTTGGGGACAAGTTTCAGGCACGGGGTGATGCCCCTTTCTCCTGCCTTGCAGCCCAGCTGCTCTTGCAGGGCCTTCCCAAGTGCAGGATGTCTGTGGTTGTTTCCCAGCACAGCTGGGAGTGCTCAGTCACCCACTGAGACCCCAAACCCAGCTCGGGGCTGTTCTGCCCAGCTCCTCTGTCCCCTCACTGCTGGCAAAGGCTGTATCTGAGGTGTCCCCTCAGCCTCCCTCCTCCTGCAGAATAACAAGATTCTGTTAATTTTTTTATGTAAACAAGCACATTCTTCAGAGTCTGTTCAAGTGAAAGGAAAACTTGGGACAGCAGAGGGGCTTTCCAGCACTTGAAACCCAGTGTCTACACACCAGCCTTTCCCTTTCCAAAGTGAAAAAGAAGAAACCAAAAGTTCTCCAGGGAGTTGTGAGTCATCTGGCTTCCACAGACATGGCTTCAAATCCTGAGAAAAGGGAAGCAGAGCATCCTAGGCCAGATCTTGGGCCAGAAAATGAAACACAACTCTGCAGGAGCTTCTTAAGGTCCTTCCAGACCAGTGTATCTTGAGCCTCCATCAGCAGGAAGTGTGTCTGATGAAGCTGGGCTTGGGGAGCATGACCAGAGCAGTTCTCAGCATTGGGTGGTTTTCCTCCCAAATATTTTAAAGGGCATCCAGGGATGGCAGTCCCAGGCACAATATCCTGCTCCAGAGAGTGGCTGGGGGTGCCAGTGTGAAGAAGGGTTTGAGGTGGCCCCTGGGATGGTTCACAGGGAGTGAGGGAGGCCTGTGGTTCCAGGGGACCTGCACAGCACCCTTCTGCTCCATGCATCCACCTCGAGTCTGGTTACAAAAGGGAAAGGTGAGAAAAGTGTCCGAGCTGAGCATGACTGGCAAGGACCTGCAGAGGGGCTCCTTGCACCTCCAGAGGGTCTGAAGAAAGGGGAGCCCAGCACAGGGGGGAGAACTGTCCCCCAGGTTAACAGAGGGGCTGCCCCCTTCCAGCAGGTCCCTGCAGGATCTGGGATGCCTCAAGGCTGTGGAGGGAGGAAGATGATGGAAATACACCCAAAGCCTCTGAACAGTTATTTTTCCATCCATTCCCCTCAGCCTGACTCCTGCCCTGCCCTGAAGCTGGGGCTAAGCCAGCCCTGTCCCCAGGGAAAGGCTCCACTACACCCCCTCCTCTTTCTCCCCTCACTGCCCCGTTACAAACAGGGATTTTTCATGGAAAACCTGGGTTCCTCTCCATAGTACCATAGAATGGGATGCGATTTCTGCCAGTGTTTGCCAGCTTGCCCCTTTCAAGCCACAGAGGGCTGGTGGCAGCAGCAGTCACTGTGCTTCTGTTTAATGCTTTCCAGGATTCACAAGCCATCCAGGCATCTCCAGCACATTTCTTTTGGCTCTGGGCTGAGTGACCTGGCATGGAACACCAAGCTTTGCCTCTCCTATGGCTATGAATCCCCTCTCTGAAGGCCCAGGAACTCTCGAGTTTACATCTGCAGAGAGGAGGATTTCACTTCCTTTGTGACTTTCCCTGTGTGGGTGAGCACAGAAGCTGACACAATTTATTTAGTCTTTCCAGGTATTGTCTGTCTGGAATCCTAATGACCCTATGTGACATGGAAACCCCCACGGGCAACAAAGTGGAAGCTTTTCCTTGAATTAGGTTCCAGTTCTTTGGGAAAGGGATAACTGGGGAGGAGGAGAGAGTATAAATTGCAGCAGCTCCTTGCCTGAGCTCAGAGCTGAGCTCTCCCAAAGAGGCAGAGCAGCATCCTGCAAGGAAGAGCCCTCCCAGAGCCACCATGCTCACTGCAAGGACAGTCCTGCTGCTGGCTGGGCTCCTCACCCTCTCACCACACTCCCATGAAGGTAAAGCCCCTCGTGGGCCACTGCTGCTGGCTGGGACTGAGGGCTGTCCCATGGGCTGGTCGGGAAGGAAAGCCCTGGGCAGGGCAGAGCAGCACATCCTGGGGTGCAGGGGAGGATGGGGGCTGCTCCTGGGGCTCGGTGCCTTTGGCAGAGCAGCACATCCTGGGGGGCAGGGGAGGATGGGGGCTGCTCCTGGGGCTGGGTGCCTTTGGCAGAGCTGCTGCAGGGCTGGGTGAGAGCCTGGAGCATCCTTCTGCCCTGGGAAGGAAGGAAGGAAGGAGGAGGGCACCCGGGGCTCCTCACGGCAGCATTTGCAGAGCCTGGGGGATGTTGCCCTGACCTGGGGAAGCTCCTGAGGGCAGGCTGCCTCCAGAGCCAGCCTCACTGTGCCTCTCTGTGTCCTGCAGCCCCTTACAGTCCAGCCGAGTGCTGCTTCGACTACATCAAGGGCGTCCTCCGGCTGGACTACCTGCTGGGCTCCTACTCCACCCCTAGGGAATGTTATTTCCCAGCAACTGTGTAAGTCCTGGCAGCTTCCCTGCTGCTGCGCTGTCCCCTGGGCTGTCACAGCTTCAGTTCTTCTGCTCCGTGTGGGGACAGGACAGGGACAGGTCTGTGTCACCTCCGTGATCTTCCAGCATGGAGAGGGGAGGACGTGGCTGTCTGGGCACTTCTGCAAGGCCTCTGCAGCTCCTGAAGGCTCTGCACGGGCTCTGGGCTGCAGGATGAGCTGCTTGTAGGGCACCAAGGGCCCAGGGCAGGCACAGGGACAAAGGGAAAGGAGAAAGGGTGCAGGGGAGGGAGGATGGTGTGGGCACAAGTGGAACCACAGCTGTCATTCCTCACAAAGCTTCACCTTTAACCTTGGCAGGTTTGAGACCAAGAAAGGAGCCAAGATCTGCGCAAACCCCGAGGAGAAGTGGGTGAAGAGAGCAGTTAAAATGCTTCAAAAAAAGAAAGAACTTCATGGCCCATGATGTAGAGGGGGTGCCCTGGTTCAGGCTGCCCAACACCCTGCTGGAAGGAGGGTTTGCAGTGCCCCTCAGAAGGGGTTAAGGATGTTCAGCTCCTGGGAGAGGGCACCTACTCCCCAGGGCCCTGAGCTGCATCCACAGCTGGGCACCAGCTCCTGGAGTGCTGCTGGCCCAGCCTGCACCTTCCTGCTGACCACAGCCACAAAATAAAGTTTACTTCATGTGACATTGGAGAGTGGTGTCCTTTCTTCTCCCAGCCCACAACCGTGCTGCTGCCAGCAGCCAGGGCTGGCTCTTCCCACCGGGTCTCAGGGCAGGAAGGGAGGGCATGGATGGGACTTCAAGGGGACACAAAAAGGCCTGGAGACTCCTCGGAGGGTTTTTAGGTGCAAGACTGCCATCATTTCAGGCTGAGAGGTTTCACCTGTCCTTCTGCTGTCCCGTGGAGGAGCACAGCCTGTGTGCCAGGCGTGCCCAGGCCCGTGTGGCTCAGCTGGGCTGCAGGGGAAGGCTTTCCCTGGCAGGAGGGACAGGCAGGGGAGGCTGAATCACACAGGGGATCCCTGCACATCCCCCTGCCAGGGGCCATGGAGAGCTAAGCAGTGATCCCTGCCAGGGCTTTGGGAGAGGGAGCAGAATTGGAAGGGCAGGAGTGAGGAAAGCCATGAGTTAAAGGCAGTTTAATAAATAAAGCACAACTGGCACACAAGCAAAGCAAAATTAGGGATCAATTCTCTCCTTCCCATGGCTGGGCAGGTGTCCAGCCAGCGGGAGCAGAGCAGGGCTCCCTCACATGTAACAGTGACCTGGGAAGACAAATGCTGCAACTCTGAATGTGCCCCTACTTCCTCCTCCTTTCCCTGTGACAGTCCAATAAGGGGGAAAAAAAAGGGGAACCAGCCAAAAAAAGAAACCTACCCAAAAATCACCACCAAGTGATAAAGAAGCCATCACTTGCACTGGCCCAGATGATGCTGAGCCAGTCCCTTGTGCCAGCACTCACAGCTCCTGGGGAAGGGGATTTTGGCAGCAGCAGCTCCAGGGATGCTTTCCCAGCAGAGGCAAAACCCACCCAGAGCTGAGGGGTGACCCTGGCACGCTGCAGGTCTGGAACCTGAGGTGTCACAGGTGCCAAGAACTGGAGAACTCTGGGGGCACCAGGAGAGCCTGCAGCCTGCAAAGCCTCTTGAGCTGCTGCCTTTCCACTCCAGGAGTCCCCAGGCCATGGAGCCTCTGTTTGCTTGGGCTTGGTGCCCTCTCCTGACAGCTGTGGCTCGGACACCGGCATTTATCACGGGCCAACAGTTCATGTTCTGTGATAAAGTATTAGCTTTTGTGATGATCCACTCAAAACCCAAAGCATTTTATGAGTCAGACAATATTTCCCACCTCTATCCATTTCAATTTCTAAAGCAGGGGTTTTCCTCAGTCAGAAAATTTGTATTCAATTATTAATTACAGTGAGGTTGGACACCCATAAAATCCTCTGCAGAGTCTGTACCCCCTCTTCTCTCCAGTTGCCTTTGCATTTGCCTAAGCAGGAGCTCCACGCCTGGGCAGAGGCCGTGCCATGCTGGGGATGGCTCAGGAGGGTGCTGGGAACACCCCAGGAGCTGCAGAGGAGCCTGGAGAAGACCAAAGCCAGACCCAAATTCCACTGCTGGGGCAGAGAGGGAAGCCCAGTCCTCCAGAGCCTTGTGGGGCCTTTCCAGGCTTTCAAACATCCAACATGCACTGATTTCCTCCATGAAGAACAGGCTGTGGAGGCATCTACTAATGCTTCTGGAGAGAATAAACAGCTAAGGGAAAGGAGGAGCAACTGTGTGCCTCAGGCAAGCCTGGAAAGGGAGCTCAGGGCTGGCACATAAGGTTTTCTGAGCCAGGGAATGCTGGTTGGAAAAAGTCATTAGCTCAGTTCTCCCTTAATTACAGTCATGTGCTTTTAACCAGTGCCTAGGAGCTGGAGTGAGGCTGGTGCCTGCTGGCCCCAAGGGTCTGTGCACTGGGCAGTGGGCAGGAGAAGCTGGGGCTGATGCAGAGCCCACAGAAGAGGACTGTGGCTGCTGTGTGTCAGGCATTGTCCCCCTGCAGAGCCCTGCCTGGGGACAGTGGCACTAGAACCCAGTGGGGCTGTGCCCAGCTCTCCGTGTGGCCACCCTGCCCCATGCAAGGCCAGCAGACCCCATGCCCTGCAGACCATTTCTTCTAAACCAGCATTTTCAGCACATTAGATCTGTTTCCTTCTCCTTTCTCCTTTCAGAGAAGTCGTGCAGACATGAGATAATCTTCAAAGAAACCCATTTCCACCTTTCTTCCCCTCTGAGGCGCCTTGGATTGATTGCCTCATCCCCCAAGCCACAGCCTGTCCCCTCCTGTACTCCCACTCAGCATCATCCATGCTGGCTCCCACCAGGACTCACCTCTTCACACACAGCTGCATCTGCCTTCCCAGGGAGCAGATCCCTGCATGGAAGCTGGGCTGGTGTCCAGCAGTGCTCCGTGCTGCTGCCTGTGCCACCTGCCCCTCCTCCCTGGCACCTGGGATGACTCCTGGGGCTGTGCTGGGATTGTCCCATCTCCCTTGGAGCAGGAGATGCCTGTGCACTGATGGCCACAAGCCTCCATCCCCCAGCTCTCACTTCAATCCCAGGGCTGGTGTGGGAGGCAGAGGCAACACAGGGCTCAGGCTTGTGTTCAGACCCAGACTCTCCTCACACTCCCCTGCCCCTGCCCCACTTCTTCCCCTTCTGTGAAGTCTGCTGAACCCACAAAAAGCACCTCTGACACCCCCTGCTCCAGGGTCCCTTCTGGATCAGTCCAGTGGCTTCTTCTGCCTGACATCCCATCCCATCCCATCCCATCCCATCCCATCCCATCCCATCCCATCCCAGTCCATCCCATTGTGCTTTCCTGCCTGGCCCAGTGCTCTCTGTGTGCCCAAGGTGGCTGGGCAGGTTGGTTTGGAAGGATCCATCACTGGCCTTTGGGCAAACCAACTAAACCCCCCGAGACTTGTCCCTGCTCAGGGACTGTGGGCTGTCTCTCCTGCTAGAAACAAACAGATGAGCCCTGGACTTGATGTCCTGCTTGCATGGGAAGATGGTTTTAATCTGCTTTCAGTTCCTAGAAGCTCCCTTGCCACGTCTTCCATAGAATGCAGAACTCCTCAAACTTTTCCACCCACCGCTGGATGTGTCCCAAAAATAAACTACAGAAAGCCCCTTGACCCTGGCTTCTTGGTACACGTCTGAATTTTTGGAAATGCAGCCTGAGTGGGCGGCAGGCAGAGGATAAATGACAGCGAGGAGAGAGCCACAGCCACAGCCACCGGGCAGGAGGCACAGGGGACAGGAGGAGCCAGCACGCTGCCACCATGCTGCCCGCAAGGACTGTCCTGCTGCTCACCCTGCTGCTCACCTTGTCCCTGCACCACGCCACAGGTGAGGAACCTCAGGGGCTGCTGCTGCTGCAGGCGAGGGCTCTGAGCCCTGGGGACAGCCCTGGGGACCGGGGACACCCCACGGGGGAGGTCAGGCAGGAAAGGCCAGCGGGGAGCGGGGATGGTGCTGCTGGCAGGAGCAGCAGCTCCCTGGGCAGGGCAGGGCGGCACATCCCGGGATGCAGGGAGGGATGGAGAAGGTGCTGGGTGGTCTCAGCAAAGCCAGACCTGGGGAGAGGCTGCAGGAGCTTGGAGGAGGCTCTGGCAGTTGTTCCCCAGGTCTCAGCTGGATGAGCAAGGGGTTGGCTGGAGGGAGAACAGGCAGCTTCCAAAACACCCTGCAAGTTGTGCTCCTGCCTTGAAAAACCCCAAAACCTCATCCCCAGACTGAGCACCCCGACCTTACTGTGTGCTCTGGGGGCTGCAGCAATTTGGGCTGTGAGGGGCCAGGTCCCAGGCTGTCCCCTGCCCCACCTCTGTCCACATCCCTGTCCTGGGCTTGCTGTGTGAAGGGTGACAAACCCCTGCCACAGGATGCTATGGGAGCTGCTGAGGTGCTCCACAGCCCCCGTGCTGTCCCAAACCTGGTGGTGCCATTGCCTGGTGATGCAATTCACAACATTCACAACATCCCCTTCCCTCCACAGCCCACTTTGCACCCGTGGAATGCTGCTTTAAGTATGCACAGAAACGCATCCGACACCCTCAAAGCTTCTACGAGACATCCAAGGACTGCCCCAATCCTGCAGTTGTGTGAGTATCCCAGGCTTTGCCCCCTATCCCAAATCTGGGATCCCCAGATCTTTTCCTCCCCCATCCCATCCTGCCCCACAGACAGCTCTGTCCCAGCCAGGGGGGGCTGTGGTAGGAAAGCAGCTCTGGGGGGTGGGCAAAGAGGGGAAAAAATGGATTTTAGTGCTTTCTGCTAATGCTAGTGGTCTGGGAAGGCTCAGACACTCACCATCAGCCCAAGGAGGGCACAGGCTGCTGGAAATGGCTCCAAGCCTTGATCCTGGATGGGGCTGCAAAAAAAAAAAAATGCACAGGAAGGGAAGGGTTCATGGTGTGTGTTTTCACTCTTTTTCCTCACTTTCTCTTTGCAGGATTGTGGCTGCCAATGGTGATGAGATCTGTGCCGACCCCAAGAAGGACTGGGTGAAAAAAATCATAAAACGGCTTCAAAATAAAACAATAGATCAATCCAGCATCTGACTTGCCCATCCAGTCTTCCTGTCTCTCGAGGGAGCCAGCAGGGCTGGCAGCCCTTCTCCCGCGGGTGCCGTGGCCGTGGGCACTGCAGGAGGAGCCGTGCTGAGCCCCGGCAGGGTCAGGTGTCAGTGCCACGGAGCTGCCAGCTCCCGAGCTCCTCCTGCTGCCACTGCCCTGCCAGGATGTGCCTCTGGAGCAAATATTTATAATAAAGACTCATTGCCACAAGTTGCTGTTTGAACTTCTCCTGATTCTCCAGACCAAGCAGCAGATCCTAACAAACCCGGGGCTTGCTGCAAGCAAAAAAAGCCTGTGCCACAAGCTCGTGTTTCTGCAAACTGTGCCTGGTCACAGTGTGCTCCACTGGGAATGTGACAGTGGAGCCAGGGCTTGACCCAGGGGTCAGGACCCATAGGTGATGTTACCTCACCCCCAGGCAAAGCTGTGCATCCTCAGGGCGTGCTCACAGCCCCACGGGCTCTGCAGGTGCTCCAGAATTAAGGGGAGGGCTCTGGGAGGAGATACTGATTACCAAACC